AACGGCTAACTTTAAAAAAAATAGCGGACCGTTCCCAACCGGAACAACGTGGAGGGAACCCCGCCTTTCTCGTTCCCGCTTGGGGGGGGGGGGGGGGTTTGTTCCTATCGCATTCTTGCCCTTCCCCTTCATTTCCCGCTCAGCACACCGGACAGCCTTATTTTTCTACTATACTTTTAGGGGGTATAAACATACTTTGCTAGTCTTGTGATATTAATGCTCCATAATGATATGTCGAGGCAAAACCAAAAACAAAATATCCGTAAATATGAAAACATAATTGTATTATAATATTAAATTTTATTTCATTTAATTATTCAACTACATTGTCTATTTTGTACATATTTTTTGTATACAAGTCTGTCCTTGACAAATATTATGTCATTGAAAATTTCTTGTTGAGATTTACCAAACGACATCGATATTGAATATACAAATTTTGATATTATCTTCATCTCAATATTTCAAAATAAAAAAAAGTAAAATTTATAAATGTTTTTTCTCTATTGTATAACTAGATAAGTATATAACTTTTCAGCTAGTTTTCCGGGATGTGAGTATGTGACACACTCCCATAATGCTACTCCCCCGTCCCGAATTCAGACTCCGAATTTCACTCGGCACAGTGTGTAAAAAAGAGTAAAATTGTAAATTAAAGTTAAAAATGATTCTTATTTAGGAGAAGAATATTAATATATGACTTTTCCCTGATTTAACTTGGGGAGATGAACTATTATGTCCTTAATTACAAATCTAATGTGAATGCATTGTAATTGTAGATAAATGTACTATGATTTGACATTTAGATTTTTATTCTAGTGTAGTATAAATTTGAGCAATAATTTGTTTATGCAGGATTTGAACTTGCATCTGTAGCACATATTGTTCTAGCATTTGAACTAATAGGTAATGATTTATTTTTCAAAGAGAATCCTATGTTGCACTTGAACCTCTTAATCATGCATTTTTATCTTATAAAATATGCATCATTCAATATTTCTTTACCTCATATTCAAATGTATCATAGACTTTTTTAAATGCATCATCGTTTGCAGAAAATTTAAATATGTACAGTATTCAAATTCAAATCATATTTGTGTCACGATAATTTCACCATTTAGTGCATCAACTTTAATTATGAAAATTCACATCAACAAATTATCCTTTAGTTCGATTCTAAAAGGCATTGTTTTCTCATTAAATATATTACCTTGATTCTGATAATGTTGAATAATAGCAAAAACAAATAAAAAGTAATGAAGAAGAAAGAAAATAAAATCAACTACTTCCGTCCCTGAAAACCTTTCTCCTTTCTTTTTTCATCCGTCCCAAAAACACTTCTTATTTCTATTAAAAAGTCACTTTTACCCCTTACTTTTTCACACCCTACCTATCAAATCATACCTTTTTACTAATAATCTATCAATCAAATCCAACTTTTACCCATCACATCAAAGGACATTTTTGGAAATTCAATACCAAAATACACTCCTCTTAAATCTCTTCAAAATCAAAACATTCCATGTTTAAAGGAACGGAGGGAGTATACAATTTTTTTAAAGATGCATCATATATACTCCGTAATAGATAGTTAGATTCATTTTGGCAAAAAAAAAAAGATTGTTAGATTCATGAAAAAAAATGCATCGTAAAAAAATCACATGCATCATGCAAGTCCATAAACAAAAAAAAAACACAATTAAAATTGGGCCTAAAAAATCAAATGCGCACATCCAAAATTTTGAACGCCAAACCAACCTAGGGTTTTCTCATTAAATATATTACCTTCATTCTGATAATGTAGAATAATAGCAAAAACAAATACTACGTAAAAAGTAATGAAGAAAGAAAATAAAATCAACTCTACAATTTTTTTTAAGAAGCATCATATAATAGATAGTTAGATACATGAAAAAAATGCATCATAAAAAAAATCACATGCATCATGCAAGTCCATAAACAAAAAAAACACAATTAAAATTGGGCGAAAAAAATCAAATGCGCACATCCAAAATTTTGAACGCCAAACCAACCTAGGGTTTTGACTCAACATGGTGTTATAGATTGAACAATGACGATGAAGCATAAGATCAGAGCTAAAAAATCCAAAAGAGTGGTGTTGTCAATCTCCTAATGGCTTGTGGAATTGTCAAAATTAGATTTCTCAATATGTTGAGCACGAACAACACATGGAAGTAATGAAAGTGATACATTAAAAAAGAGTAACGAACTCTATAATTGGTTCTTTTTTTAGCACTAATAATTTTATTACAATGTAAATTTGTTCATACATTTTCAACCTATTAAAGCTCGTAGAGTTATTGCCCGCACTGGGGATTGAACACGTGACATCTCATTTGTGAAAGCCATAGTAGTGCCATTAGACTACAAGGTCTTTGGTTATAATTGGTTCTTTGTAATAGAGGATTTTCCATATTTAATCCTCTAATCTCAAATATTATGTCTATGGTGCTTTTATGGGTACCATTTGATGAATTGTCTTTTTCTTTGACCCACTATTATGTTGGTGTTAATTTAAAGACTAAAAGTGTAATTTGAAATCAATCCTATGTCCAGTGACATATTCTTATGTCGATTAGACAGACAACACAACAATAATGATTATGGTTGTAGACTGAAAAAAAAAGATTTAAATTGGGTCAGAACCCAAACGAATCATCAACATCAAAGCCCAAACCAACATAATCCTTAGACCCCCGAAATTTCCGATTCATGGTGCGCATGGAATTAGAGAGAGAAAGAGCAGCCACCATCCTGGCGAAGCAACGATCAGCAATCAATTTCGTCATTCAAGTCCCTAACGGGTAGAAATTCAACGATAACATTTTTTTCTTGCTATAAATTGATGGTGAATTAAAGCTTCAGGCCGTGGCCGGCGGCGGTAGCAGCTCCGGCGGTGGTTCCTTCAAGCTCCAATTTCTTCAATTTTATCATCTTCTTCGACAAATTGGTATCCCTTGTTTGTCAATTTTTATTTTTTCTCCAATTATATGTAAAAGTTTGTTTTAGATTCAATTTTATATTTTTTTTGTTAGTTTGTTCATAAAAATTCTAAAAAGTGGTTGGTGTTCTTTTATGAATTTTTTTAATGTTTATATTAAATTTCTTATGAATGAGAATAGATTCATTCTTATTTACTTCAATTATTGCACAAGTTGTTGAATTGGTTGGATCGTTAATTCAAATTCATGAGTGGGTTGATATGTAGAACTCAGTTTTTGTTGAAGCTATTTTAGCTTCATAAGATGTTAAATGAACTCCGAATTCATATGTGATTCTCTGTCGTGCCTTGTGTTCGTTGATTTTAAGGAATTTAGACTTCTTAGCCCCATAAGTTGATTCATTTTCCTTAGAATTCGTTATGGAGTGATTTTGTTATATTGTGTGTTTGTCATTTTCATTAAAATTGAGATTGTTTAAGTGCAATAAACAATTCTTGATTTATTGAAAATATGTTGTGTTCTTCTATGTGAATAGAAAAAATGTCAGAAGTTCATGGAAATCTATGAAATGTGATCTTCATTAGGAGAAAAAATTTTATTAAATTGCATAAGGTATTGGCGATTCGTGAATACATTGTGCATGAGAGTTGAATGAAAAAAATTTGTTCTTTTATAAACTTTTGATATAATGGAAGTATATTTTCGTGCTTGATTGGTGAGTTGTAGTTCTTGATTTGTCTCATTATGAAATTGTTGAATTACATGACTCTTATCTGTGTGGAGAGTTGACAATCCTCCATATCGTGGTTAAGAAAATGAATCGACTCGGCCTTTGATTGATTTTTTCTATTCTTAACTACGTAAGTTACATACTCCCTCCGTCCCCCTGTATTTGTCCACTTTCATTTTTGCACACCATCCAATGCACTTCATTAATCCATTTTATCTTGTAATTTGTATGTTAAAAAATTATAAAAATTATATATTAATAATCTATATGTTAAGACAAATCAAACAAGATCACACATGACTATATTTAGGCTTACACATTGAGAGAATTTGATGAGTCAAAATGCTTAGATGAACAGTTCTAAAAGTCAAATGTGGACAAATACAAGGGGACGGAGGGAGTAATATATTGTGTACGTGCATACTATACGTGTAATGTTCGACTTCTGTTTATTCTTATTTTGTTTCGGGTTCTTGGCGGTGTTTCTTGGGTTACTTTTATTGGAGAAGTTGATTATTGATGGGAACCAAGCCCATCGAGAGAATACTAGCGAATTGGGCCCAGGCCCAATTTAGATTCCGTCCATCAAAAGGAGTGTCCGACCCAGAGAAAATATATTGGCCAGTCAAAGGAAGTTATCCGTGAGAAAAGATAGGAAAAAGGAAAAGGATTGGGGGCTTAAGAATGGGCTGAAGCCCAGCCCACTAAGAATAAGCTACCTCAGAAGGAAAGAAATCGTATGGAAGAGTCTAGAGCGGTCCCCCCCTAATTGAAGGAACAAGGACAAGAAGAAAGGGACGGACAGGGAGCAAGAGATGGACGGACAGGCTTGTCCTCCAGTGGACGGCCTCAAGCTGAGATACATCCCCCCAGATAGAGGAAGACTGGCACGAATATTCCCCCAATCACTGCCATTATTGAAGAGGATAATGGATGGGGAGTGCCTATAAAAGAAAGAGGGACTTGGGGAATGGAGGATATCTTGTAAGGAGGAGAGAAAATACGTGAGTAAATAATAAAAGATATTCTGGCGATCCTCAAGCATATTCCGTTCCTAAGAGGACCGAATAAAGGAGAGGACCGCCGATTTGAGTTATTATTTAGTGAGCAGTGCTTCTATTACTATTAATTATTATTCTCGTATTATCTTTCAATATTATAAGGCCCGGATACCAATATTTGGACCTAGGCCGATCTACAGTCCTTGGGAAAATATTGGGTATCCATCACTGGCGCCGACCGTGGGACCGATTGAAGCTTCTTAACCTTCTCGGGAGTTGATAGCGAGCCTATCTCACTCTTGTTCACTCGGAAAGACCTCTTCCTAGACCTAGGGAGAATTAGCGGTCCATTCCAAGTGAAGGAGATAAGTTCGCGGTCCACCCAGAAGGACTCCTCTTTTTAGTCGGTCCATTGTTCAAAAAAAAAAAAAGAGTGAAAGGAGGACCGATCTTCCACAGAGGACCGCATTTATCAGCCGGTCATACAGGAGGACCGATTTCTTGCTCAGGGGCCGCTATCTCCCGTTGGTCCGCCTTTTTCATCAAGTAAAGGTTTCCAACTGTTACTATGGGCAAAAATCGGTCCAAGAGGAAGAGAATTGCTGCTAAGGCGCGAACCAACTTGGAAGGGAAAGAGAAGCTTTCATCCGAGGATCTCAGACACCAAATAACTCTCTCCCAATCCAGGCGTGAAACACAAGACAAATCTGGTGAACGCAGTTTCCACTCTAAAGCCCCTAAGAGTTCTCATCCAAAGAATTCCCAGGCAGCAGCAGAAAAATTTGACACCAACTCCCCCATAGTCCGAAAGTTGATCGGGTGGCTCAACAAGGAAGGAGAGGCCCGGTCCCAAGGGACCGGGAGAGAAACAGGTCAAGGAGAGGATGAGGAGGTGGAAAGTCAAGGGCGCATATCAGTACATAAGAGGATGCGCAAAAATGCGTCCCAAAGGTTGGGACCCAGAACTGAGGAATCTGGAGAAAATTCTGGGGGGCACGACAATGAAGATGCCGGAGACATCCTCAAATTGAGAAAAGAAATGGAGGAACTAAAGAGGCAGGTTGACAAGGACGGGTCTTTCGGGCCCACAGTAGAGATAATTTCTCCCTTTACTGCCAGAGTGATGAAAGCTCAACTGCCCAGGGGTATGAAAGCCCCTGAAATCCGTTATAAGGGAGTCACCGATCCCAATGTTCACTTGGCTGCGTACCAAACTCACATGTTGATGCACGCCATGGAGGACGAGATCCAATGTCGCCTCTTCGTAGGAACCTTGGAAGGGCCGGTCGTAAAATGGTTCCTCACTCTTCCTAATGGGACCATTGATTGCTTCAAAGATCTTGCTCAACTTTTCCTCAACGCCTATGGAGGAAGGTTCCAGCCAAAAAAGCACTTCACCCATCTTTTCTCCCTAAAGCAAAAGGAGGGAGAGACCAACAGTGAATTGGTACAAAGATGGAATGAAGCAATCAATGAGGTGGAGCCTATGGACGATAAGACTTCCATTGCTCTGTTCATGAATGTTCTCAGGTCGGGGGAATTATTCAGGAAGTTAGATTATGATACCCCTACTTCTTACAAGGCTATGATGGCTAG